ACTTGTTATGGAGTGCTGTGTATTAAGATTTTCATTACCTTTGCCTCTTGCCAAATCTTGAGTATTTATAGGTGGTATGAACCGTTGGATGTGGAATGCGTGTTTACATCTGACGGTATGAAGCGTCTGCTCATAGGCGTCAATCAGCCGCGTTTGTAGAGTGGGCGGACAGTTTGTTTCCTCTGAGTTGAATTGACATAAAGTTGATAAGTCACATCAACTAGCCTCATGGAGACATCAAATCAATTTAAGCCTTAGGTGTAGGACAAATCTCAAATTGACGGCGGATCTTCTAACTGGGGTCCACTTGATCTCGACCTCGGAGGTGAGATGCTTCGGCAGATCAGTAGTAGGAATCGCTATATCACTTCAGAAAAGCTTCGGAAGGGTCGTTTTCAGGTCGGAATAAATGGTGCTGCGGGGGGTCCACTTGATCTCGGCCTCGGAGGTGAGATGACACTTCGGTATCCGAGGCGTGTATGTATAATCGGAGCGTAACATCAATTGAAAAACGAAACCTTCAAATGGATTTCACCAACAGCCTTCCAGGTTTTGGAAGAGGAATGCTTACTGCCATTCTTGTGGTTACAAAACAGCAGGTTCATGGATTCTTCTCCAATTACTCTTGATCCGTTCTCAGTCTCTTGATTTACCACAATTTTATCGGGCCCATGAATTTTGAAGAAACTGAGGACACCATCTTGCAACACAAACCACCGTGCTCTCCACCCTTTGCCATAGTTAACCCACTTATACAAAATCCCACAAATAATTAAATCAGACGGCGACGTTTGTCGTTGTGCTGATGCTAATGCTAGTGTCGACGCCATTGACATGTTAAAATAGTTAAAAAAAAAAAAAAGGATCAAAATTTGACAAAATCTTCGTCTTTAAATATTGGCCATCACAGCGGAATGAATGCATAGAAATAATAAAACCATATTTATATTGGTTTTTTATTGAAAAGAAAAAGTACGACAAGAAATGGAGCGAATATCTTACATGAAAAATTAGGGATAAAAGAATAAAGATCGAGCGAAACGCGGACAGAAGTTAGGAGAGTTCACGGAACTGTATGAAGGGAGAATGATATGAATCGACAGTTGCCGCGATGATTTGGTATATTTACCAAACTTTATTTATTTATTTAAAGGTAACCTCCAAAATTTTCAATAGAGAATTTGTTTCAGTGATTACTTTGAATAACAGTAGAATTCGTATAAGTATTAACCTATGAAATTTATATTATTTCTTTTTGCGTTTTTGGTTAAAAGAAAATGATCACATGACCAAAAGTAAAAAAAAAAAATATTTCTCCTGAAAAAATATTAATCAAATAGCATAAAAGTAGAAATTTTGATAAAAAAAAATAACATTTTTCATAAAAAATATTGACAATCAAACACACTCTTATTGATTTATCTTTCTTATCATACATATCCAAATTTACACATCTGATCGTCTGTCCTCATTGGGTAGGATAAAAATTTCTCACTGCGAAAAGGACGGGAGATCAATTTTGTCAAAAATTGATTGAAATCTTATTCTCCAATAATAATTGAGATTGTAATTAATGGACAATCTTATTATTTGTGCATTTATTAAGTTTGTCTACAATATATTCCATGATTTATTTGTTATTGAAATGATTCACACACTAGTCGTTAGGAGTTCCACACAACAGAATGAAAAATACAGTTGTTGCGGATCCCACACAAAAGATAAAAATTCAAATTTGATGACTTCATATAATGGATAACGGTTATATTTTTCATTTTAACGAAGAAAGAATGAGAGCCAAAGAGAGTTAAAGTTACTTATCTCTCTTTCTCTCTCTTCCTTTTATCAACAGGATTTTCTAATCTAACATCATTATCGTCCTTCCACCTATGCCATTTTAAGAATGTAGTTTTTTTCCCGTTGTTATTATGAACTTTCAATGTAAAAAAAACTTAAACCTTAAATTTAATAAGGTTCCGATGTTTTGTACTTTATTAGAAAAATTCATTTCCCCGCTCAACCAACTCCACTTATTGACGTCAAGGTTGCCCTCTAATTTTATTGCTATGGTCAAGCGGTAATGCTACCGGTACATCCGGAGGTACCGAAGTGTGTACCTAATGGTCACGCGACGACCTCCCATTGGAGGAAGTGCATGTGGGGCAGGCCCTTCCTCCAACCGAGGATCGCTGCGTGTCCATTAGGTACACGCTTCGGTACCCTCGGATGTACCACAAATTTAATTCATGGTCAAGTCGACAAGGTCAAAGTTTTGTTTCATAAAAGCATTAAGAAAAGAATATTATATTTTAATTTGCCTGTTGAAATATCTTTTTGAAATTTGCCCTCATCTTCTCGAATAAAAAATGGGAAATTGCATGATCAATCTTCAATTTTTAAAAATGAACTTGCTGGTCTTAAACTTTTAACTATATTGTACATTGAGTCCTCAAGGATGAAAATTATATTATTCTCTGATAAATTATCATTTACCTATAAACAAAACATGTCTTAAACTCAAAATTCGAGAAGCAAAATTTATCTTATATGGTTGGCAAAGATAGAGTCACGTAATGATGGTTCGTCAAGATTGCATTGTTATATATATAGAGGAATGATCTAATGAGCACGTGTTCTAAGCATAGGCCATCGGTGATGTGTCATGCTAAGCACCGATAATTTATCATTATCGGTGTTTAGCATAAGATGAGCACCGATGCTCATTAGAATATATTTAAACCATTCAATTCAAAAAATGACAGAAAAGTAACATTCTTAAGTTCATTAAATAGTTGTAAAGAACCCTACTTATAAAATAGATTAAGGTATGCATTGCTATATAAAAATTGGGACACGACTCAGACCAACCTAATACCCACACATTCGATTGAAAACTAAGGGTCTGTTTTAAAGCTTGAGTTTTCCATGGAAATTTTCCACCTAAATTGAGTGTTCGATGGCAAACTTTTCCACGGAATTACAATTACTCCAACCTCCTCCCGTGACCGGATTTTCCAGGGTTTTAAGGAATTGGTTTTCTTTGGGTTTTGGTGGGAAAATGGTTTTCTAGCTTCTTTTTTTTTTTTTAATTTTTTTTATTTTCAGCAATATGAACAAATTCTATCCATAATTGTAAAAAAATCTCTTTTTTTAATTGATAATTTTAATGGAAAACAAAGTCAAATGAATACCAAAAGATTCAAAATTTTAACATTTTTCAAGTGAATAATTATACCAATAAAACACATTTAAATTGACAATTCTCAATAAAACAAATTCTAAACAATTCAATTCTCTAGAATTTGTTTTCATTTTACTCAAATTCCATTCTTGCAATCAAACGAACTCTAAATGAAATGACACATTTTTCCCTGCGGCTTTCTTTCTTTCTTAAAGAAATTAGATTGTCCGAATATCATTGACAACCTTAAATTTTAATGTTTAATTGTTGTATAGTTTTTGCTATTTATACTAATAACAAAATTAACTAATGTGATCGATAAGAGTAGTGACGAATTGATGGTCGTACATATCTACATTTCTCTCTTCAAATTATAAACTCAAGACACAGTTAACAAATAATACACACAACATTAATCCTTAGGTTTCATTCATGACACTGCTTTATCATGCATAACTATCTACGTACATATATGTACTTTTAATGCACCCTTCATACCATAAAGATATGCTTGTTTCAATTTTAACACAAATTTAAGAAATATGATTAATATAGTCAGAAGCATAATTTTTTCTTACATTTTTTTTCTAATATACCCATATATTAAATAATAATTTAAATAGGAGTAGTTCATATTTATTGACAATGAAACATTAAATAGATACAGTAAAAATTTTAAAAATCAACTATACTCTCAACAAGGAAAGTGACTTATAATTTGAAACAAACAAAAAGGAAAAGAAAACCTATCTTTATGAGAAGGAGAGATTATATTTTACAACTCTAATAAATCAATATTAATATTTATGAATATGTTGCCTATGTTAAGACAAAGAATGGACAAATCCCAATATTTTCTTGCATATAATATTATTGCACATCCAAATGATCCAAAATTCATGATTGTAATAACAGCAAACATAAAACTCATCCACCCTAGCAAAACAAGAAACTGCACTGGGGTGATCGGTCCCAAAAACATGACAAAAGAGTGACTTTTCTTTTCCAGCCTTTTCAGGACAACTAAATCCTTCATAAAACGAAAGGGAAAATGTTTGTTTTACGGACCCCTAACACGGGTTTTGATGACACAAGAGACAGTTGCACAAGACAAAATATGGGTTCTCTCTTTCAGTCTAGAATAAGTTCATTATCCTGTAGAAAAGCCGATAGAGTGCGTGTGAACTTGCTCATACACATAGTTTTTTGAGTTTTATAGGACAATGTTAGTTTATTAATGTTCTGAATTCTCCTCCTTTAGAAGGCCTCGAATAAGTATTTTATGGTAAAATGTTCTTTTGAGTTTTGACCATTTCAACCAAACTGTCATTGAATCTTCCATAAAATAATATTACACGTAAATCGAAAACTTTTCTTACATTTTCAACCAATCATTTTTCAAAAAAATACTATTTTACCCATTTTCAACTCTACAAAATGGGGGCCAAATGGGGGCTATGAGCTCATGAATGTAAAACAAGTCTACAAGTTGTTGGAAGAATTTTTACCTGCAGACCCTAATGGATATATCGGATCTGAAAAGGGCTACATCTAGCCACCTACAAATATAATTTGTTCTGGAAAGTGGGGTAGATTGTATCGACTATAATTTAGTTCTACATATATAAATAAGGCTTTGAGTTGTGGGTTTAAAACCACTTGGGTACCCTTCTTTTACTAGTCTGTCTTAAGAATGAGCTCTACCCAATGTTCTTGTAACGTGTGAATGCTCAACCAAACGAGGTGATAACAAGGCTATACCTGTACAAGTCCTACTAGAAACACAATAACAATTCTTGCTACCATTACATAACACCACTTAGGTCATAATGGGCTTTGCTTATTCTAGAAAATAAACATGTCATTACACTCAAATTGTACAATCTCAATATTAGATTATAATGCGACAATATTGAACAGCAATCTGGGTACATTATCCTGAGAAATCTTACTATAACATTACTAAAAAACTTAACTACATCTAGAGCATATCTTTTGCTGAAGAAAATTTAACAGCATAGTTAGGCAAAACTGGGAAAGGACAATAAGAAAGTATCCTCACAAATTCACGAGGTAAAGTTGATAGCCCTTTTGTTTTATCCAGTAGAAGCAACGAATAAATCTTCAGACCAGTTTTCTCCTCACAAGTCCTTTAAAGAAATCAAAACTGTAGCCACAAAGAATAAGTCACATTGTAAAACGAAATACTGCCAGCTGAATATGGCATGTAAGTGAAAAAGAGGGGAAAAAACATAACAAAAATAGGCTCTCTGCTAGTATTTGTCGCCTGACCAACCTTCCCAACTCCCAAAATCCCCCCCCCCCACCCCACCAGCCGTGGATGACCAATGCACAAATGTAACTTCTTATGAGATTGCAAGTCACCTGGTTCATTCTAATTAGAAATAATGGAAACAAACATACAAAGAAATAGAATATCATAACACATAAAAATGCAGAGAAGTTTCTAGGGAAAATTACAAATTAAAGACTTCCAAATTCCAATACATGTATTATGCAAATTGAATACACGACCTAATCTTCTAGAGCAAAACCTAGATAAAAGTTGGTGGTGGAAAAAAATTAAGAACTTCATACTAAGAGCAGTCTGAAGCACTTTGGAAATTAGTTTATTAATCTAATGGCTTTCAATTGTTTGAAAATCTAATCCTTATGTCCTGAGAGAGAGTAGACTCTCAACATCAGAAACTTTTATTCACTTACATAATTGGGACAAATCTGTTGACTTTGGAACTTCAATGTACTCGATCATTCTAAATTTTAATCTATTGCCTTTTACGAGCGCTAGACTTCTCAAACATCAGCACAGCATGGTTTCACAAGAATACGATTCTGTAGTACTCATGCATTTTTATAAGCCAGAATATAACATGCATATATGATTTACAGGCCTTTTTGTCTAAGCTTGCTCAATTAATTGGGATTGGGTAGTAACAACAAATATTTTGTGCATATAGCGCTACTTGTAAAATGCTTGATATAATACCTATTTCCATCTGGATGGAGCTCGCATGCTTGACCATCTTCAGTGACAGCTAATAAATACCCAGAAGTTGTTATACCCTGGACACAAATAAATTGTTTTTCCAATTTTAATTCCTTGGATCAAAACAAACAATAATTATGCCAGTGTCTTAAGTGATTGAGCAGTTCCATTGTGTTAGAATAAATATAAGAGTATGTTGGCTTCAAAAACTTGATAAAGCACGCAAGGGAAGATGTTGTTTGCAAGCTCAAATGCTGTGCATTATGTAGCCATTTCAATCATGTCATTTCATTGAGATTATCCATTAGTCATGGATTCTCATAAGAAATGCCTCAAAGACCTATTAGAGACAGCATAACCATATAGCAATGATAAATTAGAATTGATTTTCCATATTTCTAGTCACTCAACTATGGCCTCAAGATGAAGCTTTGCCATCTACAAATGTTAAAAAGTTAATTAGCTGAGCTTCAAATAATTAGCTGAGCTTCAAAGAATAGGCATAGACACTCAATAACAATTCATCACATGGACATCCTAACAACTGATGAAACAGTGCTCTATTAACCTGTCTATGGATACTTTGAGATAGCTAAAAAAGCAGGTAGACCTTACATATCTTTTACCCAATATACTACTCTTCTTTATATTTAGGCATAGAGTAAGACAGACCATTTTGGCATGAAAGACCAATAGCAAAATGGAATCAGTTTATATATATATATATATATATTTTTTTTTTTCAATTTTGAACTGCAAAGAATAAATTTAATCAACACTCATTGAACTTTAAAATTGTTACTATTTACTCACTCATCTTTAATGGGTTATCCAATGCACACTCATCTTTTGATATAATTACTCATTCATCATCGCTAAGTAACTATTTCAAATTGTGGATGGAAAATCGCATGTGGCAAACAGCAATCCTACGTGGCATGTTGACGACGTTAACTATGTCCATGTCAATAAAAATGCACCAACCAAATGCACTTTTCCCTTTAATTGCAAAATCCCTTCAAATTAAACGCAAATCCACTCACCTCTTCATTTCCCTCATTTCCTCCACACTTTCATCTACATTCTTTCATTTTCTGTTTTTCAATCAAATCCAGAATTCTGAATTCTGTAATTTTTTGTTTTCTACTGAACCCGCAATTTCAATTTTTTAAATTTTGCGTTTTTCAATCAAACCCATAATTTTAATTTTTCATTTTTTGGATTTAAGTCAGAAGGAAGTTTGGAAAGAGTTTCAATCAAATTTATGAAACTTTACCTGAATGGAGGGACAAGTTTTTGTCATACAAGGGGCTGAAAAAGAAGCTTAAGTTGATAGAGCCAAATAGGCCGTTGTCTTCGGCTGTGGAAGAGGAGAGGGCCAAGAAGAGGCAGAAAGTGGACGACGAATTAGCTGCCGACGGTGGTGGTGAAAGGGTGGTTATGACGGAGGCGGTCGTCAAGTTATTGGAGGATGAACTCAAGAAATTTAATGCTTTCTTTGTTGAGAAAGAGGAAGAGTACATCATCAGATTAAAGTTAATTATGCCATATGAATATTTATACAATTGGTCTCTGTAATATAAAGCCAAGCATCATGACTCATGAAGCAACAATGGCAGCCTTATTCTACAAGAAGAAGATATGGATGAGGAATGAATAAAGTTCAAGAGAAATTTAAGGGTATTTGTCCAGTGAAAATGTGGAATATGGATTTGAGGTTAATTCAAAGGGGTTTTGCAATTGAGGAAGGGAAAAGTGTGTTTGGTTGGTGCATTTTTTAGTGATATGGACATGTTTAACGTTGTCAACATGCCACGTAGGATTGCTGTTTGCCATATGTGATTTTCCATCCACAATTTGGAATGGTTACTTAACGAGTGCTGGATCGGTAATTATATAAAAAAGATTAGTGAGCATTTGGTACTCTTTAAAGATAAGTGAGTAAGTAGTAACAATGATAAAGTTGAATGAGTTTTGATTAGATTTACTCGAACTGCAAATGAGTCTATTAAGCAATCCGATCCTTTTTACTTGAACCTCTACTTCACAAGAAATGATTGCTCGTAATCTAAATCTCACCAACGCAAAAAGTCCTTTTTCTTTTTTGAGTGGGGGGTTGGGGGGTAAGAATAATTTATTTATCACTAAAATACAAAATTACATCTGTCAAGAGGACAATGTGTTTTGTAACAACAAAAAAGCAATGAGAAAGTCAAGAATACAACATACTGTTCCACCCTACTCTGGTCATGGAGAAAGGAAATGCTTGAACTCCTTATCAGTAGTACCCCAAAGTACACTAAAATTGTGCCCTAGTCCATAAATCAATCACTACTTGATCATTCGTTCAAAATTCTGCTATTTCTTTCTGCCCAAGTCACCTAAATGATAGCTGGAACTACTATTTCCCAAATAACTGCTCCCATCTTAACTGATCCAAAACCAATTGGTTTTTTGACAAGTAAACCATTACGACTACTCAGGGAAACACAATCAAAACCAGTTCATGAAAAAGTGTCCCCCATACACACCCTTGCAACATCACAATGTGAGAACAAATGCATTCTGAGTCTATGCCAAAACTCAGAATATTACGAGCTCTGAGCCTTGTGAACAATTTGACATCAATTCAGAGCAGACCTCCTAGCAGGTTGACTACTCAGTGAAGAGAATTTGATTAAAAAAATTCGTTTAAAATTTTATGTTAGTAGAAATTTTTATACAAAAATTATAAGTTCACACCAAAAGTTACATTGGAAATTGAACAGAAGCAACAATACTGATATTAAGAAATTTTCATTATTCAAATATTAAGATAAAGAATTTTTGCAAGTATGCAATATTTTTATTGGATGAGAATATCTCAGGTCCATTTCAAGGCAACAAAGACATTTTATAGGCCAATCTTGGGTGTGTTGAGAATTTTACATTTAAAATGAAGGATTCACATCCCATACTCAAGTGCAAGTGTTGAGAGTCTGGAATGCCTTTGTGCCTCTATAAAATCCATATAAAACAGATAATCAGTCACAGTAATTACAAAAGCTATTGGTTCGACTGACATGGTCTTATTTTATACATTGAGTTTACAAATCCAATGAGAACACATTTTGTGGAATTTATGAGTAACAAGAACTTCAAATGCAAATCTACGCAAGAAACTAAAAGTGGATGTGAAGACAAACATGAGCAATCATACATATTCTTATATTATGATATATTCTGGAGATTTATCAAACTTATAAATAATAGGAATTATGAACAAACTTACAGCAACATCTCTGAGTGAATTAATTTTGTCAACAAGGCTCTCTCAAGATCCCATATTTCACATTTCCCACTTAACTATTCAGTCTCTAAACCATTAATAAAATCTAATTGTTCTTATAACTGTCTATGGACCCGACTCCATTAACTAAACATAGCATATTCTTGCTTTAAGCAAAGACAAAGAAAACATGAATCGTAATTAGCTAACAATGAAGTCCACAAAAAAAGAGTACCAAAAAAAAAAATCTTTTAACAAAAAAATAAAAAAATGAATCACAATAATCTGACAACAAAGACCACAAAAAAAAAGAGAGTCCAAAAAAAAAAGATGTAAAAGAGAGCATTTTAAGGCCATGTAATCTGTTAATTCACCTGGATGGTGACTACATTCTCTGAAATTTGATCCTGATTTTCATTCTTCTCCTGTACTATAACTCTCTGTCCACTGCATACCAGTTGAAAATTAGCAGCAAGAATAATAATTACTTATTATAAATTTGTCAAAAGAGAACCATATAAAATCTTTCACTAATTATAAAATTAGTATGCGAAAGAAATTTTGCATAGATCATTTTTTGGTTAGGATAGAGGTTTAAAGCATGGTAACTATTTAAAAAAATGTGCTCCCAAAAATTTTCAGGCATGTATTTATTATCTTTAGTCTCCACCCAGCAAACCAGTAAGGTACATCACTTTGATAAATAAAATTAAGACACATAACACACAGGAGAGAATTACTGATTGGTAATTTCACCTGTGCAGCCATGTCTTGTAGTACAATTCCTCAAGTGCTTGAAATCCTGCATGTAGCGACAAAAAGAAATTTGTTCTTTTTACAATATGTAAGCTATCATCAAATAGAAGAAGAGTCTGGCAATCAAGATAATATACACCAGCACTGCAACTAACTCCAAAAATCATGTTTTGCAGCTCATCTCTCATGACCTTTTGTTTATAGGAATGAGTTGAAAATGGTGGATAAACGGATCCTTTCAACAAGATGTGTCTTTTCAACTCTCTCTGACTTGATCATTATTTCAGGTAAAGTTTGGTTGTAAATGTGTGATTCATTCCTGGACCCCTTTAACAGTGGAGAGCTATGAAGATTCGTTCCAATTTCACCTTTGTTCCACAAGAATCAAGATCAATGAATGATCCAGTGGTAGAGGGGATATCAAGTTTCACGATTCCCTTCTAACTTCGAATTCAAAGGTACTGCAGGGCAGGGTCTTCAGGAGAACCAGAGAATGTGGTTCAAACACTCTTCCATTAGGATCAAGATTATGATGCAGAATGACACATCAAATCAAAACCAATTTTAGTGCCACATATAGAAAGAAATAAAATTTAACCTCATTCCACCATCCCGAAAATGATTATAGTTGATATTTATTTATTAATATGACAACAGATTAGAGCTATATAATTCTTAAAGTCAGATATATGTCTCACTTGAAAAGATCATAAATGTAAGACATAATGATAAACCTAAGTACATATATATATATATATTTAAAACAGTTATATTCAAATTGGTGATAGAGTGAACATGTACATAACAAGTAAACATAATGTTGGAAATCATGAGAATAATAATCACCTTGACATATGAAAATATCGTAATAGTTCTCAAATTTATTGAAGAAAGCTGCCACAATATCTTCTCGTTGTAGTTGATAAACAACAGAGGTTAATCTTTGTATAATTGCATTCAAGCATGTTGTTGGTTTCTCATTACTAACATTCAAGCCAATTCCTACAAGATAGGAAATTTTGAATGATTTAATCTTGTATAAGCTCATGTGGGAACCACACCAAGATGAACAAATGGAAATGAATCAGCCTGCCAAGTCAGAGTATATTGAGAACATGACAACAGCAAAACCTGTTAATGAAATTTTCTCCAGTTCAATATAAATGTTAAGCCTAGATGTGTGTATTGTCAAAGAATGGAAGTGTTTACCAGCACTGACACTGAACTTCTTTGATCTATATGTTGATGTGCACAAAATGCCTCCCACTTTAAGACCATCTAAATACAGATCATTTGGCCACTTTATTCTAACATTGGGAGGTGGTATACCCTGAAAAAGATTATGGTACCAAGATGAAGAAAATTAAAATGGAAGATTTGAGGCCAAGATTTAAAAAAGAGTAAATATATTATACGATATATGATTAAACCATCCATCTACATTGTTTTACAAAGAGCACGAGGCTTACTCTTTGAACACCATTTGGCAAAGCTTGTAGCTAGACCCACTGTGGGACAATCAAACCATCCGACTTTGGGTGGCTGAGGTTGAACTTGTTATGTAATCATTATTGTTTTTGTTGATTCATTTTGAGTTGAAAAAAAGAATTTAATTTGTTGAAATGCTTTATTATAAATCTTTAGTTAGTTTACGTTTTATTATGGCCTTGTTTGATTCCTATTTTTCCTAGAATACATTTCTTTCGCTTCTTTTTAACAACACGTTCTTCAATAAAATAACATTACACGCAAATCAAAAACTTTTTCTTATTTTTTAATCACATATTCTCCATCAATCTACTATTCTAAAATACATTTTTCCAATTTAATGGTGCTCAAACAAGTGCAATAAGTATAATATAGTATTTTCTAAATTTGGAATTATTTTATAGGTTAACGTTGGGACTTACTCCATAAAGAGCATTGAGGCTTATGACTCGCCTCTCTCGGATGCAAATTACCTTAATACCCCATTTTGCTCTTTAAATAATGTGCACATAACCATATATTCTCAAGAAAGAACAGTAAATCGTAGAAAACTATTAAGATTAGTTTTCTACTTTTTCCTTCAAGAGGTGAAAATTCTTCAGCTCCATTAATACTCAACCCCCATCTAAAAAACTAAATAAATGAATAAGTTGTTTCTCTCTTTAGATATGATCGAAGACCATTCTACAACATACTATTCAAACATTCCTCCACTTTCAATTGTGAACAAAGGTCAAATGTTGTTGAACTTCGATACTTTCAGAAAATTCTCTCAAAGGCAGTGGCAGAGCCATGAAAATTTATTTTGGAGGAGCTATTACGGTAGGAAGTCGACGAGCGGCGGTAGCTACAAAGAGAACGATAATTGAAGAAAACAATAAAGCTACATATTTTGTTAAAAAACTTTGCTAGAAAACATAAAACTAAATAACTTTGGATTAACCATAAATAAAATACAAATAAATAATGAAGAAAAGCAAAAGAAAAAAAAAAAGGAAACATCATTATTTTGTAAAAAAATCAAGATGTGATTATACGGAACCTAAAAAATAAAAAAAGTTGAGAAAATAAATTGAACCAAAGGTTCTCATGTACCTAAAATTTTATAAAATTTTCATTTCTTCATTAATGTTTGTTGTTTGTAGCTGACCGGTTGGGTTAATTCATCGAAATTCAAATTATTTCAACACAATTTTAGTTTTTTACATTTTCTGGAATCGAAATACCAACATAACTAATAAAAAAAAACTTGACAGTGATATATGTTGTCTATGTAAATCACAGATGTGAAAATATGCGGAATACGTCGATGAAAGGGTATAAAAAACGAAAAGAAAAGATATAGGTTAAGCGTAAATCGATATACTAAAATAAAAATACAAAGAACCAATGATATAAAAGTAATGAATCCAAATGTAAATAGAGTAAGGGTACGAATTCCATATAATACTTTTATAATATAGATGGGATTGTGTATCATTATAGACAAATTAAACTTTCTAAAAAATTCTTATTCGCCCGCTTGAAATTTTGAAGTGGATGAATAAATAAACAATTCAAATTGGATTCGGTTGAATGGTAACAACGAAATCGAGTGCTAACTTCATTTCTTATTGAATTAACTGGTCGTTGTGCTATCGAACCTTTATTTTGAATTCGATAATTTTTATTAAAAAAAAAAAAATCGACATAATTTGTTTATTATTATGAGAGTTAATCCTACTAATGATTATGAATTTCCATTCTAGAGAGAGAGAGAAAAAAAAAAGCCCTAGGGCATATCGTCCAAATCATATGTCCAGTATTAGATGTAGCCCTGTCAAACAAGGTGCCTAATATTTATGACGCTCTCATAGTTAAAGGTCGAAATACTGTTGGTTAAGTAATTAATGAGACTTGTGAGGTACAACAATTATTAGAATATAATCAGTTAGAGTTGTAGCTATGAGTGCTACAGATGATTTGGTTAGAGGAATGGAAGTGATTGATACATGAGCTCCTCTAAGCCTTTCGGTCTAAGAGTGACTTTGGGACGAATTTTCAACAAACCAAATGTCAAGAACTGCTTGACAAAAACCTAGTATTTTACGTAATGCTTGACAACCTTCCATCAGTGCTTAACCCACTCACTGAAGTGTTTGCTTTACACATTATTCTAAATACTTATAACGAATTTCATTCATTGACGCTAGCATACCACACCATGACACTTGGTTAAACATAAATGCAAAAAGTGCAAACATTTTACTGCATGAAAAGAATTTATGGTAATTTGGTTGCCCAAAATTTGAATTTCAGTATGCATCTCAAGAAACTGTTCTATAAATATTTGGATACTAAACAAAAATTTGACAAAAGGCACTTACATTTCGAAGACAAACGTCATTAATTGCCTCAGCCATTGCCAGACACACAACATACTGCACAAGTGGCACCACTCGACCATCTTCCATTTGTAAGGTAAATGAAAACATTAGGCATCCCTTCGGTGACTCCCACACATTCTTTGACCGACCTTCAAACCCCACCCACCATCCCAAAAATAAAGAATGAAAAGAAATTAGAGAATGAAAAACTTGAAACTCCTACTACATTATACCACACGCTAATACCTCTGCCTTTGAGCTGCACATCAGCAACACATACTGCGCCTAACGGCAGCTCGCAAAAATTACTACAAAAGAACATTAAGAAAATGTAGTCAAAACAACATAGCACATGGTATGATATGGGTTAGCAATACTTTTACAACAAAATTGTACGTTTCTTAACATTTCACGTAATATTATCAAATTTATGCCTGTAGACAACAAATTTTATAGCTTGGGTATTTAGAATTGAAGTGAAAATATTACATCCTAAACTGGAAAACTATACACCAAGAACATGTCAATTGCTAAAGCACAATATGCAACACGAGTTAGCGCTACCTTATGAATTTAAGTGTTATAGCTTGCTATTATTAAAATTATCAACACCAAAAACTTGACACTATTAAAATATGACAAAAATGCTCATTTCCAACAGTAGAGAAAGCCAACAATTATTTCACAATCAGCAATGCCAGCAAGGTTCCAGCAAAGTGGACAAAGCCAACAATTGCTTCACAATCAGCAATGCAAGCAAGGTTCAGAAATTCTAGAAGAATCTGAGGATGGCCGAGGGTATGTTCTGATGTATCTACTGGAGTCTTCTGGAAGAATTTCTTGTTCTTTTTTGTCAAAGTTTTTCTTTCCTGACAATTGTATAAATAGCCTACCACATGCTTGTATTTTCAACACAATGAAATATACAAAAAAGTAATTTCTCCCAACTTGATTCTTCTCTACGTTTTTCTATTTTCATTGATTTTTCTTATATGGCATCAGAGCAACCATAGCTCAAGAGGATTCTATCAACTCAAATCAAAATCAAATCCTACCTTCAAATCCAGAACAAGAGGATTTTACCAACTCAAATCAAAATCAAAACCTACCTCCAAATCCAAATCCAAACTCCGTTGATCCATCCCAGTCATTCAACCATATTTTATTGGTAATAACGATAGTTCTGGAGCTTTGCTAGTTAGTCAAATGTTGGATTCCAACAACTATCATTCCTGGGCTAGATCGATGAAGAGAGCTCTCCGAATCAAGAACTAGGCTTCATAGATGGGAGTATTTGTGAACCCACTGATGCAAACAGTCCATTGATGGATCATTGGTTGAACTACAATGATATCGTCATCATCTGGTTGCAGAACACCATGTCCATGGATATCAAGCCAAGCACACTCTATGTTGAGACGGCTCACCAGTTGTGGCCGGAACTTGAGCAGCAACTTGCACAACAAAATGTACACATAATTTTTAAGATAAAGCAAGGTATTGCAAGTTTACAGCAGAACCAAAACTATGTTAGTATGTACTTCTCAAAACTCAAAACTGATGAGTGTTGAATTATGAATGCATTTCTAACTGCACTTATGGGGAACTAAAGACAGTATTGAATGATCAAGAGAAGGATTGGGTGATGAAATTTCTCATGGGGTATAATGACTCGTACAAGAACCTTAAGGCTCAAATCCTTCTAATCAAACCTTTTTCAAGTTTCAATGAGGTTTATTCTATTATTCAACAAGAAGAAAAGAAAAGGAAAATTTCTGTTGATGTCCCTACTAATGCACTATGGCACTTATGGCAAAGGTAGCTGCGAGAGATGAGGAAAAACGGAATACAATGCCCCAAAGAAAATATTATTGCACCCTTTGCAAAATGTCTAGACATTCAATTGAGAGATGTTTCAAAGCCAATCCTGATAAACCAGAGTGCAATTATTGTAACATGCCTAGACACACACCTGGGAAATGCTTCAAATTACATGGCTATCCAACGAGGCACAAGTTCTATAGAAAACCTGGAGCCACTGGGTCTTCTGCCAATCAAGCAGTCACTCTTAGTCAACCTGGACAGAAGCAGCTCAGTAACAACACCCAAATGTCTTCTCAAGAGCAATATGGTCAGCTGATGGCCTTACTCAAACCACAGAACAACCAACTTTACACATCCTCAGCCAACTAAGTGAATACCTTCTTCTTTAAGTGAGGTTGACATTCCAAAGATTTATGGTATTTCTCTCTGTTTCTGTGTATAGTACAAAACTAAAAAAATATCTATGTTGTTGCTTGGATTATGGACACCAGGGCAATAGATCACATGATCTGTTCCCCTACCTTTTTCACCACTATTAAGGCAAAAATTAATCATTGCAATCCCACATGGAGATTTTATTAGTGTCACCCATATTGGAACAGTCAAAATAACTGAAACACAAATTTTACAACATGTTTTGTGTATTCCATCTTTCTCCTTCAATCTGATCTCTGCCAGAAAATTGTCAAAAACTTCACACTTCTTGTCTTATTTTCTTTCTTGAAACTTGTTTTGTTCAGGACCTTTCCAATTGGAAAATGACTGGAATGGATGAAAGTAAGGCATAGGTTATAACATCTATTGCATAATGCAGTCTCTTCTACAGCTTTAAATGAAGCCTTACCTTTTCTGGCCATCAAATCCACCATATTAGCTTCTGTCATCAACAACCAAGAAGACATCAACATTTGGCACTATAGATTAGGACATCCCTCAGACTCTAGACTAGATCTTTTGAATTTTGATCATGTATCTAAAAATGCTAACATCAAAGCACCTTGTCATATCTGCCCTCTAGCAAAATTGCATAAGTTACTCTTTTCCATAAGTCAACATAGATCACAAAAATGCTTTAAGTTAGTCCACTGTGATTTGTAGGGACCTTATAATGAATTAGCCTATGATGGATCGAGATACTTTCTTAGCATTATAGACGATTTCAGAAGATGTACTTCGGTTAATCTTGCTAAAATTTAAATCAGATGCTACTGGTGATTTGCAGAACATTTGTGCAATGATTGAAAATCAATTTGATTCCAAAATCAAAGTAATTAGGATGGACAATGGAGGTGAATTTGAAATCAAAAAATTTCTACTTAGAAAATGGTATAATCCACCAAAAATCCTATTTAGAAACCCCTCAACAAAATGCTATAGTCGAGAGGAAACATCAACATATCATAAATGTTTCAAGGGCCTTAATATTTCAGAGTGAAGTCCTTATGAAATACTGGTTGAATTGTGTTCTTACAGTGGCCTATCTTACAAAAGATATGTTGCTTAGCCTTTGAACTCAAAACACCCTTTGAACTCCTTTTCAAAACTAAGCCTACCTATTCCCATCTTAAAGTCTTTCGTTGCTTAGCTTTCGCGTCTACCCTAACTCACAACTGACACAAATTTGATGCTAGAGCAAGGAAGTGTGTGTTCTAGGTTATCCCTTCAAGATTAAAGGTTACAAACTGTTACATTGGGTTCAAACAAAGTCTTAATTTCCCAGAATGTTGTTTTTCATGAAAACATCTTTCCTCGCAAAACCACAGACATTATCACTCATTCTCCTTCACCAACCTTAACTGAAATGCCTTTTGCTCAACCATCAACCATTGATCTAAGCTATCATATTGAGTAAACCCCTTTTCTCCACGATCAACCTTCAGATTCTTTAGATCAGCCATCTACATCTCTAAGTCCAACTAACCAACTGAAACTTCTACAAAATCTCCTCAAAACAATTCCACAAGTCGTCACTTACCTCAAACGTCCACTAGAGATAGAAGACTGCCTTCATATTTGCAAGATTGTGTATGCCAACAAGCCTCCTCACTTCCCACTTCACGGGGAGAAAGGCCATGCTAAATTAGGTAGCCTTTTTCCTTTATGTGCCACTTTATCATATCAAAAATTGTCTTATTCGCATAAAGCATTTGTCACTTCCATATCAACATACACAGAACCTAACACATATCAATAAGCAGTTAAGTATATGGAATGGCGTAAGGCTATGAAAGCTGAAATAGATGCACTAGAGATGAATGACACTTGGGAAGTGTATAACGGTACAAGACTAGACTTTTAGCCATAGGGTACACACAACAAGAAGGGTTGGACTACCATGTGGCTAAACTAGTTATTGTTAGAACTTTATTAGCTGTTGCTGCAATTAAGGGTTGGTTTTAGCACTAGTTAGACGTACAAAATGCATTTGTACATGGAGACCTAGATGAGGAAGTGTACATGCAACTACTGCCTGGATATTCCAAGGATGGTGAATCAAAAGTTTGTAAACTTCGCAAGGGTTTATAAGGGTTGAAGCAGGTCGCTAGGCAATGGTACTCTAAATTGTCCTCATTTATCATTCAACAAGGTTTTTAACAATCCAAAGCTGATTATAGTTTGTTTACAAGGTCCACCAAAGATTCTTTCACGGCCATATTAGTCTATGTTGACGACACTATAATAGCTGGAAATAGTATGCAGGTTATTGAATCTCTCAAGTCATCTCTTGATGCCACATTCAAGATCAAAGACTTGAGTGTAGTAAAGTATTTTCTTGGGCTAGAAGTGGCACGGTCAATAAAGGGGATTCACATTTGTCAGAGGAAATATACTCTAGGGCCCCGTTTGTTTCTCTTTGTAAGAATGAGAATGAAAAATATAGTCGTTATGGATCCCACACAAGAGATAGAAATTCAAATTTGGTGACTTGATGTGATGAATAACGATCATATTTTTCATTTTAGTGGATAAAGAATGGGAAACAAGCGGGGGCTAGATATTCTTGCTGATTCTGGAACTATTGGAGCAGTGCCAGCCAAGACACCATTGGATCAACATTTTAAACTCTTCAAAGATCAAGGTGAATTACTTCCTGATACATCTATCTTAGAAGACTTATTGGGAGACTTCTTTATTTAACAATAATCAGACCTGACCTTGCTCACTCGGTGCAACTTCTTATCCAGTATATGCAAGCTTCTAGAATCCCACACTTAAATGCAGCTCATAAGGTGTTGAAATATATTAAGCGAGCTCCTAGATAGGGTTTGCTTTATTTTTCTGCATCTATTATACAGCTCAGATCTTATTGTGACTCAGATTGGTGGACATGTCCAAACACCAGAAGATCTATCACAGGTTATTGTGTTTTTCTTGGGTCCTCTCTAATTTCTTGGAAGTCCAAGAAGCAAAATACTATCTCTAGACCTTCTGCAGCGGCTGAATATAGGGTTATGGCAAGTGTTTGTTGTGAGTTAAGCAGGCTTAAGAATTTGCTTCATGATTTACAGATTGCCCAAGCAGCATTATTAGCCTGTGATAATCACGCTGCCCTGTACATTGCTGCTAACCCGTTTTTTATGAAAGAACCAAGCATATTGAGCTTGACTGCAATTTGATTCATGACAAAATTCAAAAAGGGAGTACTGATACTAAACATGTCAGCAATGGTGCACAAATTGCAGATATTTAGAATAAGTATTTGGCCTCTATGCATTTTTATTCTCACTTAATCAAGATGGGAGTAGAAGACATATACTCTCCATCTTTGGGGGGGGGGGGGGGGGGGGGGGGTAAAAAAAAAAAAAAGGAACTTGCGGGCAGTCCGGATCCGGACTTGGCGATAATACTGCCAGCAGAGTAGACAAAGCTAACAATTGCTTTACAATCAACAATGCTAGCAAGGTTCAAAAATTCTAGAAGAATCTAAGGAGGATAGCTGAGGGTATATTCTGATATATCTACTGGAGTCTTCTGGAAGAATTTCTTTTCTTTTTCTTTTGGATATACGGTTTTACAACTTGTATAGAGTTTATTACAGTTTTTCTTTCCTGACAATTGTATAAATAGCCTACCACTTGTTTGTATTTTCAACTCAATGAAATACACAGAAAAGCAATTTCTCTTGATTCTTCTCTCTGTTTTTCTATTTTCATTGATTTTTCTTATAAACACTATAAAATAAAATGAATTCCCATGAGTTTACAACAAGATACTTAAGAAAAAAAGAAATATTGCTTACTGGGAAACAACATCGTGTGTAGACGCTAATTTGGGAGAGTAAATGAGGAATTTTCCGAAACGAGAAGTTGAAAGAGAATTCATATATGAATCTATCTGAAACGCATCCTTTTGAAAGCTCTCTTGTTTTTCATTCTCCGAATGCAAAACAACATTTATCGAAGCATTCTCTGGGAGTTTTAACGTGTTATTGGTCTTCAACAACATGGCTAATTCGTTCTCTGTACTTGATTTTCCGCATAAGATCAACGTAGTTGGTGATTCCAACTCCATTTCTGCACAAACACACACAAAAGGGGGGCAATTAGTACTGCATATAACTTGTAGGCGTCGGCATAGTCCCGATCGTCCGGTTCCAACAAAAACCCCACCGCACTATCTTTGAGAATTCTATGGATGCAATTTATTTTGCGCTTCAAACAAAACTATAAAGGGTAAACTGTTACAGTTTCTAATTTTTCTTTCATACCTTCCTTTTGTGTGCTAAAAGCATTAATTATTATAAACACATAATAAATACATATCAATTCATGTTAAATTAACGTAAATTAACTTAATTGTTGATGTAACTGTGAGATTATTATATAAAAAATGGAACTAAAATTCGATCCTAATTAGAACCGAGATTGAGAAATGTAAACAAAGTTAGGAATTGACAAATCCTTACTTGATGCAGAGACTGAGAGTAAGATAGTTTTGGGAATGAAAATGAGTTTCGGAAGAGAGAGAAAACGAGGGGAGCCTATGAAGAGTAGCATATGGATTTTTTCAGCTCTGTATACAGAGCAAAATGGCGGCAATGACGGGCCGTGGGCTTGTGACGGAGAAAACAATTCGCAATTTGGGTAATTTTCAGTGCCCAGCCCTTCAGGTTTTAGAATTGTAATTTCCGACTCAACTTTAAAACAATATGTAACTTAACCCCCAAAATATGGATATGCCATTAGAAATTGAAATTTTGAGTTTTTTCGTTGTTATTTTATGGCAGACAACACGAGTGACAATATAGCCCCTATTTGACAACTTTTAAGAATTTAAATTATTTGCTACAGTATCATTTTTCACTAAACATTTTTACAATAAAGTATTATGCACACAAATCAATAAAATTTTCTTATTTTTTAACCACGCATTCTCAAAAATACTATTTAAAACTCTTTAATTTTTCAAATAATCAATTGGGTTATATGATGTTAGCCTAGGAATGGGGTCTTATCGAAGTGCTTTATTTCATTTGGTGTCAAACATGCCATAATGCATCGTGGATAGAATATTCCTCCAAATAAGCAAGTAGGTGAATCTCAAAACCATATATATTGGTATTGGTATTGGTATTGGTAGAATTGTAAATATCTTGATAACGACTAGGTAAATCTGCAAAACCAAAGACCATATGAGAGACGTAAATTCATGAACCTCAAAATCATATATTGACTTAGCTTTGTTGGGCACGTTGCAACAAATTACTCAACTTTGATTAGAGTTAGAAAAGTTTCGTAAATGATGGACCAAACATGCTATTTCAAAAGGTATAGTTTCCAAAAGAGCGCACGGAAAAAAATTTCCATGAGCGGAGATTCATTGAGCTATCTCAACATCCCTTAAAAAAATGTTCTAAAACTAGTAGCCTATTCGGCTAGTTCAATAACAAGCCTAATAAAAAAAATTTTACCACAAACTCTATGGCTCTGTTTGAGCTGTATTATTTTGAAAAAAATACATCATTAAATACTGATTTGACGTTATTTCAATCACATATTTTTCAATAAAATAATATTACTTGCAAATCCAAATTTTTTCTTTATTTTTAATCATACATTCTCCATCAATCCACTATTCCAAAATATATTCTTAAAAAATAATGTGGCTCAAATACACACTATATTTAAAGTTTCAATTTCAAAAATCAAGTATAGATAATTTTTTTTATTAATCAAAAACCAAGCATATGCAAATATACCCCGCCCAACCACTTTCTTCACTCAAAGAAACCATTCACCTGATCCGCACCACTTTCTTCGCTCATAGAAACCATCCATCCCATCATAACCAGAACATGTAGGGGTGGCAATAGGCCGAGCGGCTCGTCAGCTCGCAAAAACGGAGCAAGTGGACGGCTCGGGCTCGTAAAAACACGAACGCGAGCCGAGCGGGTCGGGTCGGTTCGGTGGGCGGGCCAAGCTAGCTAGGCTTGCAAAGGAAACGAGTCACTAGCAGCGAGCTCGCGAATGGCTCGTTTTTAACGAGCCACGAGCCCAGCTCGTGGGCTCGTGTTAAAAAGTGATCGAAACAGTCACTTTGTTTCAATCACTTTGTTCAGTGACCGTTTCGGTCCTTGATTTTTTTTGGGTAATTAGCACAAAACATTCCTACCTTTCGATGTTTTTGTGGAAAACGTCCCTACCTTTCATTTTTTGCATTTTTACCCCTACATTTCACCTTTCATTGCGCAAAAGGTCATTTTCATTCATTTTTTCAATAAAATGACGATTTTACCCTCCTATTGAAATAAAACAAAAATAAAAGAAATAATTAATTAATTAATTGCAATCATATTTCTAAATCTTTCAAAATATTACAGATAAATCCTAAATTCTCCACTACCGCCACTTTCACAACCCCACCAAGCCACCACCTATAGATCCATATAGCACCGCTTTTCGACCACAACACCTATCGGACTCCACCACCACCAGCATCGCCTCACTCTCCCCAGTATCCTCCTCCATAGTATTGGTTATCAATCTGTCCGAAACAACCGCATTTACGGTGGTGGAGTCCGGTGGGCATGGTGGTCGAAATGTGGTATTATGTGGATTTATAGTTGGCAGTTTGATAGGTTGTGAAAATGGTGGTAGTTAAGAATTTATGATTTTTTTGTAATTTTTTAAAAATTTGAGGACTATGGTTGCAGTTGGTAATTCATCTTTTCTTTTTGTTTTATTTGAATAGGAGAGTAAAATCGTCATTTTATTGAAAAAACTATAAACACATAATAAATACATATCAATTCATGTTAAATTAACGTAAATTAACTTAATTGTTGATGTAACTGTGAGATTATTAAAAAATTAATTTATATAAAAATGGAACTAAAATTCGATCCTAATTAGAACCGAGATTGAGAAATGTAAACAAAGTTAGGAATTGACAAATCCTTACTCGATGCAGAGACTGAGAGTGAGATAGTTTTGGGAATGAAAATGAGTTTCGGAAGAGAGAGAAAACGAGGGGAGCCAATGAAGAGTAGCATATGGATTTTTTCAGTTCTGTATACAGAGCAAAATGGCGGCAATGGCGGGCCGTGGGCTTGTGACGGAGAAAACAATTTGCAATTTGGGTAATTTTCAGTGCACAGCCCTTCAGGTTTTAGAATTGTAATTTCCGACTCAACTTTAAAACAATATGTAACTTAACCCCCAAAATATAGATATGCCATTAGAAATTGAAATTTTGAGTTTTTCTTTTTTCGTTGTTATTTTATGGCAGATAACATGAGAGACAATATAGCCCCAATTTGACAACCTTTAAAAATTTAATTATTTGCTACAGTATCATTTTTTACTACACATTTACATAATAAAATATTATGCACACAAATTAATAAAAAAATTTTACTTTTTAACCACACATTCTCAAAAATATTATTCAAAACTCTTTAATTTTTCAAATAATCAATTGGGTTATTTGATGTTAGCTCTTGGAATGGGGTCTTATCGAAGTGCTTTATTTCATTTGGTGTCAAACATGCCATAATGCATCATGGACAGAATATTCCTCCAAATAGGCAAGTTGGTGAATCTCAAAACCATATATATTGGTATTGGTAGAATTGTAAATATCTTGATCGAGTAGCTAAATCTGCAAAACCAAAGACCATATGAGAGACGTAAATTCTTCCAATTGGGTAGATGAACCTCAAAATCATATATTGACTTAGCTTTGTTGGGCACGTTGCAACAAATTACTCAACTTTGATTAGAGTTAGAAAAGTTTGGTAAATGATGGACCAAACATGCTATTTCAAAAGGTATAGTTTCCAAAAGAGCGCCCATAAAAAAATTTCCATGAGCGGAGATTGATTGAGCCATCTCAACATCCCTTAAAAAAAAGTTCTAAAACTAGTAGCCTATTCGGCTAGTTCAATAACAAAGCCTAATAAAGAAAATTTTACCACAAATTCTATGGCCCTGTTTGAGTCGTATGATTTTGAAAAAATACATTATTAAATAGTGATTTGACATCATTTCAATTACATATTTTTCAATAAAATAATATTACCCACGAATCCAAAATTTTTCTTTATTTTTAATCACACATTCTCCATCAATCCACTATTCCAAAATACATTCTTCAAAAATAATGTGGCTCAAATACACACTATATTTAAAGTTTCAATTTCAAAAATCAGATATCGATAATTTTTTTTGTTAATCAAAAACCAAGTATATGCAAATATACCCCACCCAACCACTTTCTTCACTTAGAGAAACCATTCACCTGATCCACACCACTTTCTTCTCTCATAGAAACCATCCATTCCATCATAACCAGAACGTGTTGCTCATTCGCGGCGGAACTAGACGAAGGAGGTGGGAAACGAATCTTCTTCAAAGATCTAGTGATGGTGTTGCTTGTTAGATTTTGTGCCTCGAATTAGTGTAGATTTTTTGAAAAATATTGTTTCCTTATTTTCACGTCATTTTATTATAAAAATATTATTTCCTTTATTCCACATTATTTTTTATATTATTTCCATCTTTATAATAGTTTTAGGGTTTAGGATGTTTCTATAAATATGTAGCTCTTTATTCAGTTTAGGCGAAGCTTTACTGCTCAGTTCTTTGTATTCTCTTCACATATTGTCTTGAATAAAACATTGATTTCTCTGCTAATTTCTCATCAATTCCTTTGCTTTAATCTTGCTTCTATCGTTGTGATTTTGTCTACATCACATATTTCACATTGTGTCATTAAATCTCAATTCTTGTATCGCCTCCAGGTCCAACAAGTGGTATCAAAGCAATTATATTAACTTACTTGTGTCCCAACAAGTGATATCAGAGCTAAGCTGTAAGTTCCTTGTGATTTGGTTGAGATTTTTTTCAGAAATGGCAACATTAAAATATGATATTCCGCTACTGGATAGCAATACAATATTTTCGCTGTGGCAAGTAAAGATGAGAGCTATGTTGGCGCAGATGGATTTAAACAATGCTTTGCTGGGTTTTGAAAAGATACCAACAAATTAGACAACGGAAAGACAGGAAGGCTCTATCGCAGATTCATCTTCATATTTCCTATAACATTCTGCAGAACGTATCAAAAGAGAAAACGTCGGCTGCTTTGTGGTTGAAACTTGAGCAGTTATGCATGATCAAAAGTCTCACAAGCAAACTGCATTTCAAGTAAATATTGTATTCTAGTCGCATGGCAGAAGGAGGATCACTGGAAGACCACTTGACTGTGTTCAAAGAAATCGTTGCAGATTTGGAAACATTAGATGTCAAATATGATGAGGAGGATATGGCCTTGATCCTGTTGTGTTTGCTACCCCCTTCATACTCATCGTTTCGGAACACGATATTGTACAGTCGTGACACGCTTACCATTAAAGATGCTCACGATACTTTATTCTCAAATGAAAAGATGAAGCATATAGTTGGAGCTACATCTAGGGATGAGAAAACTCTGGTATCTCATGGTGATCAATAGATGAGTAGATCGAAGGTAACCTTCAGCAATTTTTATTATTTCTACAGTAGGAGAAAAGGACATGTTAAGAAAGATTGCGATATGCTGCAGGCTAAAGGTAATTTGGTAGCAA